ATATGGACATACAGGTGTTGGTTCTGCAGTGATCTTACTGGGAATAAGATACTGCAATCCTAAAAACGCACGGGGCAAGTATAGTAATGCATGGACCATACTGTGTGCCCCCTTGTAGCAAAAAAACGGCCTGGTGAAAGGCAAGGTTATAAAAATATAAATGAGTGGGATCTCATATATGAAGTGATTCTGGCACTGAATAAAAACCAAATACATCAAATATGACACAAACATATGGATTAAAAAAACCATCTGGTTAAAAGTAATACCCATAAATATACAATTATAAAACCAAATGTACTGAGATTATGGTGCATCGAATATGTTAAAGCGATCAAGAGATAAAGGTGCATCGACTTTTTTTAAAAACGATCTAAACACTCAAATGGAATACAGATAAAGGCAAAGTAAAAGTAATCTGATTAAGAAGTGAGATCATGAAAAGTACTTAAAGATCGATCAACTGGTATCGATAAAACAATTGATATCTAATTCTACATTTAGTCCTTGTGGAGCTTGGGACTGTAGAAGATAAATCCACTTGGTCTCAAGCATAGAGACCGCGCGTTTTTTTTGTGTGGGTACCTCTCCAGTTACTTTTGATGATATCTATACCCACAAATCGCAGGGAGTGTGGATTCTTATTGTGTCGCTGGCGGTAATGCATAGACAAGGAGTGCTCCTTGTAACCTTTCTTAATATTGACCAGGTGCTCCCTCAGCCTGTCTCGCAGTCTCCTTGTCGTTCTACCGACATATTGCTTCCCGCAACTACATTCCAGAAGGTAGACAACATAGGAGCTGTAGCACGTAATAGTAGACTGAATGTCAAATGATCTACCGGTAGCATTTGAACAAAAACTTTTTATCGGGTTCTTGTGAATGCCATTACAAATGCATATCATACATCTGTTGCAAGGAAAAAACCCTTTTCTATTCAGAAAATCAAACGTCAATTGCTTAGGAGGATTGACAACGTTGGGGGCTAGTCTGTTTCTTAATGCTGGTGCTTTTTTATAGATGATTTCTGGGTGTTCCGGTAGGGCTTTACACATCACCGGGTCGTTCTTAAGAATGTTCCAGTTCTTCCTAATGATAGTGGCAACTTCTTTATATTGCATCGAGAAGGCAGTTGTAAAAGGACAGAAAATCTCTTTATTGGTCTTATGTTGGGTAGTTAACAGATTGGCCCTGTCCAAACTAGCCACTCGGTCAATCTCCATATCCAATAGTTGGCTGTCATAGCCCTTTTCTATGAATCTAGTTCTAAGAATGTTGGATTGTGCAATGTAGTCTTGCATAGCACCACAGTTCCGCCTTATCCGAAGGAATTGTCCCCTAGGAATGTTATCCAGCCACCTAGGCAGGTGGCAACTGTCTTTTGGGATGTACCCATTCCTGTCTGTACCTTTAAAAAAGGTTTTGGTGGTAATTCTAGTACCGTCATTAATGAGGGTGAGATCCAGAAAATCAATACTACTGTAACTATAATTGAAAGTGAGCTTAATATTTAGGTTGTTATAGTTTAGAGTGGTAAAAAAATTGAGTAGTGAAGAGTCATCGCCATCCCATAGCAACACTATATCGTCTATGTAGCGTCGGTAAAAAAACGCAAATGTGGCCACTCCATGGAATATATCACCTCCTCCTCCCATCTTGCCATAAAGATGTTTGCTAGGCTAGGAGCGAATTTCGCGCCCATTGCTACGCCTGTGGTCTGCAGGTAATACTTATTATCAAACCAAAAGTAATTGTGCTTCATTGCGAAGCTTAATAGTTCCAATAAATATTGCTTCTGAATGTGTGGTATGTCTATGGCCTCATTCAGATAATATTCTGCCGCCTCTAAACCATCTGCATGCTTGATATTACTGTAGAGAGCGAAGCAACGTCCGCCGTTACCAGAAAAGTAGGCTTCTCTATTTTAATGTCCATGATCTCAACCAGGATTTGTTTTGAATCCCTCAGGAAAGATGGCGTGTTGCGCACTATTGGCTGTAGGAAACAGTCAATATATTCACCAACCCGGGAGCACAAGGACCCTATGCCACTCACAATGGGGCGACCTGGAGGGTTAATTGGGTCCTTGTGGATCTTGGGCAGGCAGTACAGGACCGGAAGTCTGGGTACCGTAGGGCACAAAAAATCACGCTCTTTTTTATTCAGGATTCCCGAATCGGATCCCCTTTTTTATCAGAACCTTCAAAGCTTTTTTGTATGACAAAAGAGGGTTACTCGGAAGTTCTAAATAGGTGTCTTTATCCTGGAGGATATTCTGCACTTGCATTAAATAGTCTGATTTATTCATGACCACAACTCCTCCCCCTTTGTCCGCTGGTCTGATTACCAACTCCTTTTCCTTTAATAATACATTGGTCATCATGTTAATCTTGTCTTGGTTAAATGACTTATTGTACCGTTTTTTTACCCGTATATTATCAAGATCTTTAAGGACCATATTTTTAAATACATTGATATATGATTGTGCCTGGGGGTTAAACAAGGACGCATTCTTGAGATTGGTGTTCTTGAAATTAGGGTTACTCACATTGGATGTTACACTTGTGATAGGTTTATTTAGAAAATGTCTCTTCATCGCAAGTCTCCTTACAAACTTGTGGATGTCTATAAAAGTATTAAATTTGTTTAGTTTAGCCGGTGGAGCAAATTTTAGTCCTTTGTTTAGAAGATTTAGTTCTTCATTAGTGAGGATCTTATTACTGAGGTTAAAAATGCCTGAGCTGTTTAGGTTTTCCTTCTTTTGTCGGTTAACCCTTGCTCCTCCTCGTTTTCCTCTCGTCCTAGACCCCTTTTTCGTCCCGAGCCTTCCCCTAAAAAATGATGTTGGTTTAGGGTATTGGGTGGTTGTAAGTTAACTCCATATTGTGAGTATCTGTAATTGGAGGAGGGGGACAGTCTATGTTGATTTGGGAACTGTCTACCCTGTTGTGTCTGGTAACCCCTTCCATGGGGTGTCCGATAATTAGGACTGTTATAATGGTCATAAGTATGTCTGTCATTGCGTTGATTCCATCCGTCATCATAGTCATCCCTAGAGTGAATATAGGACGGAACTCTTGGACGGAAATTACTTTTTTGTTGCTGATGAGGTCTGGATATGGCATATTGTTCCTGATGATTCAAGGGATGTGACCTCATATCCCTGTTGCCTATATTAGGACTTGGGTGATGTCTAATGGCATCAAACCTATTATGAGTGGAAATGTTATACTCATAATTGGGACATTCTCCGAATGATGTCTATAGTTGTTATTAGGAGTATGGGGAGGTTTGGCAACTTTTTTGCGTTTTGCATTATTTTTTGTTGTATTGTTTTTTTAGTGGGAATGGTTACAGTTTCCATCTGAGTGGAATCTACATAATCATAGTTCTTGGCTTCCCATCTAAATACTGTTTTGTCCTTATAGTCATGGAGATCTCTGAGATATTTTTTCTTTTTCTTATATCTTTGCTCTTTATCTGTTTTTTCCAATAGCTGTTTCAATTTTTCAGACTCATTCATGTAATCTTCCCTGCCCATGTAAGGCACTAATAATTCCTTGGTTTTATTGATTTCTCTATCTAAATGTGCAAGTTTCTTTCTTTTTCTAATAATGAGGAATTTGAGCAGGTCAATCCCCATGTTATTGAAAAAGAGATACCACTCTGTTTCACTGTTTTTCTCAAGAAACGAGATAATCGATCTTGTTAACATCATGCAAAACTTGGCCCACTCGTAAGTGACTGAGACACCAGGATCATGGCCAACGCAGGAGGCAGTGCTGAATTGGCAACGGTAAACAGTGTAGGCGACTGAGTCCAACATATGGCCCATAGGAGCCATAAACGACGGATACTCTGCCTCTGTCACCGCACATGGTTGCCTGAGTCAACCCAGAAATGGGGGGGAGCTTCAGCCATTCCTATGCTTTGTAAAAATTGTTCCAAAAGGAGGGGCAAGGAAAAACCTTAACATTTCAGGAGGTGAGGCATTCCAAAGGGGGCATCAGTCTCCTGAATTGTCCTCACATTTTACTGTTCCCTGCACGTGAGGTACAAATTGTGGAGACATGGGTATAGGACCCATCCTCGCCATCAGGGGGATTGGGGATTTTAACCATCATCCTGAGGCAACAGGAGCAAGTGGGGTGGAGGAGAAGCACCTCCCCTGCCCATCATTGGGGAGGGTGGGGCATCCCCCCCATGCCCCCTGTTTCCAGTGCTGAAAACACAGAGCAGGATAAGCAAGGACTGGGCACGCCTTAGACTGCGTCTGCAGACCCTGAAGCAACTCATGCAAATTGACAGCAATAGATCTTGGGGAGACTGCCAGGCATTGGCTGGTCATGGACTGGGAGTACCCCAGCTCTCCTCTGTGCTATCTACAGCAGCAGAGCCCTAGCAAAACATATGCAGACCTCAATCACTAGGGGGGGCTTTCTGGATATGCAAAAGTGGCCCATTCCTCCATGCCACGTGCTCCCTTTACCCACCACCCTGCACCTGGACACGGAATGTGGCAGGGGAGGTGGGCGGGAAAAGGCGAGAGCCTTCAGGCAGAATCAGCTGGGGAAGGGCGCTGGCTCATCAGAATGAATGGCATGTAGAACAAAGGCAGCCACCTATAAGCAAAATGGCAGGTGCTGCAGCCTAAAGTTACAGGGAGCAGGACTATTGCTGTGTGCTCCAGAGAGTGGTCCAAAATAACAAGGTCCCAAAGCAAGGAGATGAGCCAGAGCATCCCCACCTGCCAGCATCAAGTAATCCTGGGCAAAACAAAGGGTGCAGACTTCAATACCACCCCCCCCCCCCCCCACACGGCCCCCTCAGGATTCCCAACACAACCCGGGAAGGGGCAGGAAGGTACACATGCAGCATTGCATCACTGGCTTCAGGTACTAATGGACCCCTAGGCCAAGGAGCCATTTGTCCATCTGTGGGTACAGCTAAGGCCACCAGTGAGTGAGACAGCATCCAAGCACACACAGGGGGCAGGGGTGTCAAACTGGCAGCCCTCCAGCTTTTGTGAAGTTACAAGTCCCATCATGCCTCTGCCTTTGGGTGTCATGTTTGTAACTGTCAATCTTGAAATGCCTCATTGGACTTTGGGAACAGCTGGAGGGCCACCAGTTTGACACCTGTGGTATAGGGGGAGAGGAGGATAGTAGGAGACACAAGTCCTGGAGGGGTGAAGGAGAACCCCACAGGGCCAACCACCCCAGGGAGTACCCGTGCCCCATGTGTGTCTCGAGACAGATCCTCCTCACCATCAAAGTGGGGGGGCTGTTGGCCAGGGGTACCACTGTGACGCGAACTGCAAGTGCCCAGTCATAAGTGTGCCAGCAAGACGTTTAACTCGCTGGCTGCCCTGGTCCAGAATCGGACTTTGTCGCAGCTGATCCACCACAGAGATAAAGGTCTGCATGCACTCGCTGGCCAGACTGGGGTAATCACTGGATCCAGATTATCCAGCCCGACTGATGATTAAAGATCTCCACAGGAAAAAATCCCAGGATAAAGAAAAAAAAAAAAAAACACAGAAAAGAAAAAGGCTATGGAACCACAGGTTCCATCAGGGAACTAGGCCCTTGCTCCTGAAACACTAGGCAGAAATAATTGGTTTGTCTATTGCAAGGAAGGGGTTTATACCAGGTAGGGTGGCCCATAGGCAGTGCTGAGTTTCTTTTGTGCCTACATGTGTTTCTTTTATGCCTACTCCTGTAGGTGGCACTGTAAAACCTGTGGTCAAGAATAGAACAGCTGTGTCCATCAATGAATGTAAGAGAAAATTTTTGTTTATCACTAACTCCTCCAACCAACATTTGCGAGTGAAACACATCCTTAGAAAACATTGGCCTATTTTTTTAAAAAAAGATCCTACGTTAGCTGGTTTTTATCCTATTCTCCAGAGGTTCTGTTTAAGCAGGTTCCTAATCTACGGAAGTAATTAGTTACTAACATATTTGATCCCCCTAAGAAAATTCAGTTTTTTTGAAATGTAAAAGGCTTTTACCCTTGCAATAGAGGTTTAATATGCACCTTTAATAATGGTAAAAGTTCTACCACTCATGCATTTACATCTTCCAGTACTGGGAAAGTGTTATAAATGCTATAGGTACTTTTGTATCTTGTACACCCCGTTTTGTGGTCTATCTCCTTGAGCGACCTTGTGGGTTGGGTTGCAGTATGAGGGTAGGACCATTAGAGCACTCATGGATAGAGCACTAGGGCACTTATAACATCAGTTGTGGGTTTTAAGGACATAGGCTTTCGGCTAATTTTATGCTCGCACATGTAGCGCTCACACCTAAAGGGCCCGCTCATTGGTCCCTAGGTTTCTTTCCCAAGTTGGTGTAGTAGCAGCCAGGCACACAGCAGCACAATAAATCTCACAGCGCAATGATCAGTATAGGGTTATCTTTTGATGCTTTAATATTTGATGGACTTAATTAGGGTGCAGGGATTTGTGGGATACTTCAGAAACACAGCGCAATAATCGGAGAACACTCTTCGCTTTATCTAGACTTCTTAGTTTAGTTGTTTTAGCAGCCACTAAGAGAATGAGCAGCACTGGGACCCCAAAAAGAGGAATGATCCATCCAAGCAAGCACTGGCACTGATGCACAAAGGGATGGTAGCAGCAGTCATTAGAATCCTGCACTCAGGTCTGTACTCACAATGTCCTTGAATACTTGGATGCCTCCTTCCAATATCAGCCGGACCTTTCTCCCATGAACTCCCAAACCAGATCCTCATTGAAATCCCTTGATCAGCTCCAGCTTTTTCTCAGAAAAATAGGCCCCCAGCTCTAGCTGAGCTGGGACCTTGATGAGCTCCTGTGAAATTTCACCTGTACTGCCCAGGAAGGAAGCATCCCATCAGGCTGTGAATTTCTCCTCCTGGACAAGAGCCCTGCTGTTCCAGGCCTCACACTATTTATGTACTCCCCAAGCCACTTATTGGGTATTCTCCCCTAGGGATTGGTTGAGACCACAAATATTCAGGCTTTTTGTCTGCCTCTTCCAGCCCACTATATTCTAGAATCCACTAGATGGCAGGGAGAAACAGTTGAACCCAGAACAGCTCGAAATAATCACAGGATGCTCCACTGACTGCAGTGGAGCCAAAAAACTAAATGTACCTAACCTTTTTAGCAACCGATCTAGGACAGTGCTACACATCATAATAGTGTGGGGATAGATACATTTTAACCTAATTGGAGAGGCTGTAATAAGACTGGAGAAGTCTAAAAACAAAAACAAAAAAAAAAAAAGATGTGGTGGATTTTCGAGTTATTCACCATGTGGGCTTAATGTAGAGTGGCATATAAATTGTTTTATTGACACCAAATAAATCCCCCCTTAATGTTGTAGTTATACCGTAGAGCATACCTATTTATGTCAGAGGTATACAGGCTCTCACAAGGATTTTTTAGGTCTGATCTTGTGTGGGCTGGGAGGCTAAGCAGCGTTAAGCCTGTTTAGTACTTGGATGGGGGACCACCTAGGAATACCAGGTGCTTATGGATCGATTTTATTGATTTTTTTTCTTTTAAAAATAAACAAATGTTCAAGGATTGCTGTGAGAGAGCTGTCTTGGCTTTAGCTGTGGTGTAAAACAGAGCAAGGAGAGATTCATTCAGTTTAGGGATATTTCATACCGTTTACCTCAGCTTTGGGGGTTTAAACTTTTGGTAGCCTTAACCACTTTAGGACCGCCCACAGTACATTTACTGCTACAGGGCGTCCCCTGTGCGCATGATCACGTATATATACATGATTCTGCATTGCCGGGTAGGGGGCGCGTACGCGCCCTACCCGCGCCGCCAATTACGGCCCCCGGGTGTCAATCACCAGGTCCCGGGCGGTGATTATCCGCTGACGCCCGGTGATTACCGGCAATCACAGACAAGGAGGAGGGCTGCATTGTTTAACCAGTTGCCGACTGCAGATAGCCGAATGACGGCTACACTGCGGCCAGCCAGTTCTGGGAGGGAGTCAAATGACGTTCTCCCAGAACGTGCTCTCCTGCAGGGCACGCACCCAGTGATCTCCATGATCGCCGTGTCCAATGACACACTGATCACAGGGAAATGCAATTGCCAGTTCTCAGCTGCACTTTCCTCACGCTGTCAGAACATGGGGAAAGTACTGCAGAGAAACGGCAGTTGTCAGAGCAGGGATCGGCACCGATCATCAGGGCACTGATGATCAGTGCCTTGATGATCGGTGCCCAGCAATGTCACCCACCTGTGCCCATCAGTGCAGCACAGCAGTGCCACCAGTCAGTGCCGCCTATCAGTGCTGACTATCAGTACCCATCATCAGTGCTGCCTATCAGTTCCACCTATCAGTGCCACCTCATCAGTGCTGCCTATCAGTGCCCAACAGTGCTGCCTCATCAACGCACATCAGTAATGAAGAAAATTACCTGTTTGCAAAATTTTATAATAGAAACAAAGAAACCTTTTTTTTCACATTTTTTGCTCTTTTTTTGTTTATAGCGCAAAAAATAAAACCCCCAGCGGCAAGTAAATACCAACAAAAGAAAGCTCTATTTGTGAGAAAAAAAAAAATGACAAAAATTTCATATGGGTACAATGTTGCATGACTACGCAATTGTCATTCAAATTGCAACAGCGCTGAAAGCTGAAAATTGGCCTGGTAAGGAAGGGGGTATAAGTGCCCGGTAGGCAAGTGGTTAACAACAGCTCTCCTCCCTTTCAGTTTGAGCAGAGCCATCCCGATCAGTGTGCTTACAGTGAAGCACAACCCCCGCCCCCTAGTAAAACACTCCCTACACACAGTTAACCCTTTGATTGCTCCTTATGTTAACCCCTTCCTCCTCAGTGCCATTAGTACAGTGTCAGTGCTTTTTTTTTCTTAGCACTGATCACTGTATTGGTGTCACTGGGGATGTCAGTGATACCAAGTCAGTTCGCCCCAGTGTCAGAATGCCTGCCACAGTCCTGCTATAAATCGCTGAGCATCGCCATAAGTTGCTGATCGCTGCCATTATTAGAATAAAAAAAAAATTCCAGTATCTATACCACCATTTGTAAACGCTATAACTTTCACATAAATCAATTTACACGTATTGGGTTTTTTTTTTAGCAAAGACATTTCGCAGAATACATTTTGGCCTAAATTTATGACTAAATTTGATTTTTAAATTTTTTTTACTGGACTTGTTTAATAGCGAAAAGTCCAAAATATTGTTTTTTTCTCAAAATTTTCGTGCATTTTTTATTTTTTGTGCTATAAAAAAGAAAGACCAAGGAGCTAAAATACTACCGAAAGAAAGCTCCATTCGTGGGAAAAAAGGACATCAATTTCATTTGGGTGCAGCATTGCATGACCGAGCATTTGTCAGTTAAACTAATACAGCGCCATAATGCAAACTGCTTCCTGACTGCCCTATAGAAATACTGCTACAGGGCGGCACATGTGCACAAACTCTTGTGTATATATACGTGATTTGCGCTCTGTGGTGTTCCCCTCCCAGATAGCGTGTTCCCCTCCCAGCACCTGCGTTTAGCCCCTACGCTAACCCTTCTCCCCCAGCAAGTGCAGTGTCAGTAGGTCACTTGATACATTGCACACAAAACCACAGTGTTCGCAGAATCAGGCCTGATCTCTGCTAGCACGTGCCAGTAAATTTTGATGACTCTCCTATGCAGTAGAGTGCCAGTACTAGTGCCGCTCTACCTTTTGGTGAACTGACGAGAACCAACGGCCTAGTACATCCTGGTCTTTCACATACCAGCACTGCAGTATCACTTGGTGACGTGGCAAGTCCCATAAGTGCAGTACAAGCTGTTGAGGTGGAGAGCACAAGTATTGTCCCTTACCCACCAAGAATTCACACACAGGCCCGTAGAGCCCCTAGTGTCCTTTGGGATGTGCTTGCAAATCCCAATTGGCAGCCCACAAATTCTGCAGCACCCTTACTTCCCCCATTCACTCCCCAACCTGGAATTCGGGTGGAAACAGCAAATTTATCTACTCCCCTTGATTTTTTGGAGCTGTTTTTCACAGAAGATCTGTATGCATTGATTGTAGATCAAAGCAATTTATATGCACAACAATTTATCTCCACCAACCCAAATTCAAACCTTGCCAGACCATTCACATGGAAACCCATTACGGTTTCCTAATTTAAATTTTTGTTGGGGCCTAACCCTCAACATGGGCATTACTAAAAAAATGAATTGCGGTTGTATTGGTCCACATACCCGATTCATCATATGCCCGTGTTCTCTTCTGCCATGTCAAGGCATAAATATGAGAGTATAATAAATGTTTTTATGCATTTCAATGACAATAGACTGTCATCCTCGGGCTGACCCTGTATTTGACCAGCTCCACAAAATTCGGCCCCTCATAAATCACCTTAACCAAAAATTTGCAGATGTCTATACTCCCCAGCAAAAAAACCTGTGTTGATGAGTCCTTTGTTTGAATGCAAGGTGGCCAGAAAAATTAACAATTTCACCCCAGCAAGCGTGCCAGATATGGGGTCAAGATGTATAAGAACTGTGAGAGGGCAACAGACTATTCATATAATACAAAAAGTGTAGCGCTAAATAAATAAATATACAAAAATATATTAAATTAGGAATAATGAACACAAACACAGGAAATGTTTTCTGTCATGCACTTGCTAACTCGAGAATATTACACTACAGCTACTGAAACCTTCAGTTTTTACAGGAGCTGGTATGTTACCTGAAATAGACCCCTGTACAGATAGATCCCTGTACAAAGGTGAACCCAAAAATAGCATGATTGGTAACTGGTGTCCAATGCAAGAAACGCCCTATTGATAGGAATAGGATACAGTAAGTTCTGCTCGAGTACAGAGGAATGTCAAAATAAACTACCTGAATAAATGTATAGCTTATAAGAGTATAACAAAATCGTGGCAGCATCTGATATTTATCATTTGACAAAATAGGTTAAGATTTAATGTTGTCAAAGTCCCTCAAGGTTGGAAATATTAGAAGCCAAAGAATATAAAAAAAATATCAAAAATTATAAATAACTTTATTGCTCATTTAATTTACCTTAGTTCACCAAATGTAATTAAAAAGGAAAGCCTAAAATTGAGAACCCAAGTCTAAGGCACATTGATGGAGTCTTTGGAGGACAAAAGTTACACACACATTAAATACATGCATACAAAGAGAGAAGTAGTGACATTTCAATTTACAGATCTGGGTATCAAATAGAACATTTTCACCACTGGAAAAAAAACTACTGGATGAATAAATATATTTATATCAAATTGATGTCAAAAGTTTTGTCTTTCATATCTCTCAAACTTGGAGATATATATAAAATACACAGTTCAACCATCTGCTACCTCTAGGACCTGTTCACAAGTGTGTCTCAAAATGTGTAAACGTGCATTACAAAGCATCAGGACCCGTACACAAATTTGATTTAATGGGAGACATTCATTGTTGAATTTAAAAAAATACTTTTTTTTTTTAAAGTCAATGCATCTCAAAAAGCTGAACAAGCACTATTCAAAAGCATAGTGTGCTGCTTGTAGCATGTTATGCTTTTAAATAGAGAGGTGTAAAGAGACCATTAATGTTTCTGCTACTGTATCTCTGAGTGTAAAAGAAATCTCACTCCTAACCAGTGGGTAGGGAGATGTAGGAATAATAAAAGGGGGGGGAGAACCCTCTGACAGAATGAGAGTGAATGGAAAGAAGTCTAGGCCAGTGTAGGAAATCCATCTTAGTGTAGTGGGTTTTACATCATGTCACCATGTGCAAGTCTATGATAACAGTATGCATCCTAATCCCTCTATTCAACACCAAATAGGACTTTTACTTCCACTAACAATTTTTGTGTAAGGCAGTGGTGCCAAACTATGCCTTAAAAAAAACCTAAAACATTCCACCGTACATGGACATACAACACAAACTTATTTTCAATCACATTTACATTCTCTATAGAATAGCATAGAAACTATGTATAACCAAGAAACAAGTACAAAATGAGCATAGGCATCTTTCCTATATGGTATGTATAGTACTATCAAAAGTGCCTCACTCTAGTTTACAACAAGAAAATCCATTTGGGCTTAATCAACAAAGCTGTGCAAAATGTTAATGTGCAAAGTGCCATAAACAGCTTCAATTTACTGTAGTCAGGTTAGCTAAAAATGACTTCATTGGCTGGAACAGGCTACAGCACATTGCATTACAATTGCCTTACTGATCCCCAATTTAGTAGAACACAGACATTCACATGAAGAATTGAAAAATGTAATAACAGCAACATTAGATTGTTCAGGAAACATCATCTCTTAGCCAGTGCTTCACCAACAAGTTGAATACAAATATCTTCGGCGCCTGTCTGAACAACAAGGCAACCTTCGAACCTGCCCGTGGTGGATGGTTTGTATTTCACTGGTATGTTGATATAGTGGTGAGGTCTATAAAAGTAAAAAAAAAAAAACAAACAAAAAAACACTAGGTATCATATTGAGGTGAATGCACAAGAATAAGACAAAAAAAATCATCAAAAATTGAATAGACATAATAAGCAGGTAAAACTACATTGCAGTAAACATTTCACATTTGAAAATGTACTTGTAAATATGCTTTAATTTCCCACTAAGTGCAATATCTTCTAAGATATTACTGCATTGTTTGCTTAAAGTAAACTTTTGCTTTGCCTGTGCACATCAAAGCAGCAGGTTTGCTCTTATGCCCCATTTCCCTCAGCAGTACATGCTCATCTTTCCTTCATATCATCAATCTGATTGCAAGATCTATACTTGCTTCTATAGTACCAGTTCTCCTTCTCTGGGGTCCCCTGCTGGCGCTCCTGGCTCCTCCCCCTGGTAGTGCCCCATCACAAGCTGCTTGCTATGGGGGCACTTGTGGACTTTATCCCAAGCCACGCTGTGTGTCCCCATTGACAGCACTAAGGAGGGTTCCTGAAGGGCAATCTAGCAGAGAACTCTACTAGATGCTCTCAGGGCAGCTAGGCAGGTAAACGTGTGGGTCGTAGAAAAAAGAAAAAAAAAAAAAAACCTGAAGGCCTCCCTCACCCAGGTTCTAGGTGATACATCTCCTCTGGATGGAATAAACACAATAAATGTACCAGTGCAACAGGAGGACTTCATTTTAAAGCGATACTCTATACTAAAGGCTTACTTTTTTTTTTTATTATAAAAGTAACATGTCTATACTTACCTGCTGTATGCAGTGGTATTGCACAGAGCAGCCCCGGATCCTTCTCTTGGGTCCCCCACATGCTCTCCTGTCGGGTGCCCCCATAGCATGAAACTTGCTATGGGGGCACATGCTGCTCCATGTGTCCATTTACACAAGGAGCCATGGCTCGGCCCCACTCCCTGCTCCGTGTATCTATTTACACAAGGAGTCGCAGCCCGGCCCCACCCCCTCTCTCCTCATTGGCTCACCGGCTGTGTGACAGCAGCTGCAGCCAATGGATCCCACTGCTGTCTCAGCCAATGAGGAGAGGGAGTCCCGGGATAGCCAAGACTCCAGTGCACATCACTGGATTGAGAGGGGGCTTAGGTGAGTATTAGGGGCAGATGCTGCAAAGTTTTTTACCTTCATGCATAGAATGCAGTAAGGTGAAAAACCTTGAGCCTTTACAACCACTTTAAAAGTACTTTTGGTGATGCTTTTCCTGTTCCTGTTGGAGGAGGTGCCTATATCTCATGGGCTGAGGTGGAAGACTATTTGGGAAAAATATTTGCTAATGGGGAGGAAGGCATTAAAGCTAACCTGTCTTGCTTTGCCTGCATGGGAATGAGATAGGATTACAAGCACACTTTCAGTATTAGATTTGAAAAATTGGTCACTATAATGCTCAATGTTCCATTGCAAGTACTGGGTGACGTTCAGTAAAGCAGTTACATATCTGATTGTGTGGTGCCTTTAAAATGGTTTGTTTTCAATTCAGAAAAGCTTTGCAAAAGTTTTGCTAGGAGATCTAACACAGGTACCAGATTCACCTAGTTCTTATTTCCACCACTTTAAGAACATGTGGGCAGCACAGTGGCTAAATGGTTAGCACTTCCGCCCTGGCAGTACTAGGGTTGTTAGTTCGAATCCCAACCACGGCACCACCTGCCTGGAGTTTGCATGTTCTCCCTGTGCCCACGTGGGTTTCCTCCAGGTACTCCGGTTTCCTCACACACTCCAAAGACATGCTGGTAGGTTAATTGGATCCTGTCTAAATTGTCCCTAGTATGTGTATGTATGAATGTGAGTTAGGGACTTTAGATTATACACCCCTTGAGGGTTAGGGACTGATGTGAATGTATAATATATATTGTAAAGCGCTGCGTAAATTGACGGTGCTATATAAGTACCTGAAATAAATAAACATGTCTAATTAGGTCCAGCTCTGAGTTTGTGTACAGAGAGACACCAGTTTGGCATGTACGTGCTGGGAAGCAGTCATTAATGTGGCTAAAAAGCCAGCGTCTTACCAACCAGTGACTTTTCGCCCTATTAAGCGGTTAGCTGTTGGAGATTCCAACAGGTAGCAGCTGAATATAAACAAAGGAGATGGGGTGCTGGTGATGTCACTATCAAAATATGGAAATTGCCATATTTGGACAATAACCATAATCTCCTTGCTGGCAGCTGAATGGGACCTGGGGATGAGTCAATGGTATGGGGCAGTCTGCTGCATAGTCAACAGCATCCTTCCATATAATGTACAAGTAGGGGCACATTGACACTGGCAGAGCCTAATGAGGAACTCTGAGAAACTAGTCCCATCAGCTTTGCCTACCTTATGGATTGACAGTAGATGGATTGCTGCTATCCAATAGTGGCTATGGAATCTGGCCACTGTCCTCTGCTATCAATCACAAGGGAGGCGAATCCTAAGGGAAACTAGTCTCAGAGTTCTCCATCAAGCTCTGTCAACCCTACAACGAAACTTTTTAACCACAGTATGTCTGTGTGATGGGAGCAGTGCCTAGGATGGGAGATTGATAAATTTATGAAGCTCACCATTGGTGAGCTGCACTGAGCACAAAGTATCTTGCCTCAGGCCCAGCTGTCTCACGCAAATTAATTTGCAACTGATTCATGTACTTGTCAAGAACAGCTAAGCCCCCTATATTTGTGGCACAGAAGTGAAATGGAATTCTAAAGAGGGCCTATGACCTCATATTAACTCATATTAACTGCTTTTTTTTTTTTTTTTAGCACTGATCAAAATTGGTGTCACTGGAAATGTCAGTGACGCCAAGTTCGCCCCCCCCCCCCCCCCCCGTATCAGAATGTCTGCTGTAGTCCTGCTAAAAGTCGCTGATCGTTGCCATTACTAGTACCGCCATTTGTAAACGCTATAACTTTCACGTAAACCAATTAATTTACACGTTTTGGGATTTTTTTCTAGCAAAGATATGTCGCAGAATACATATTGGCCTAAATTTTTGACGAAATTTGATTTTTTTAAAATTTTTTTTACTGGACATGTTTAACCACTTGCCTACCGGGCACTTATACCCCCTTTCTTCCCAGGCCAATTTTCAGATTTCAGGGTTGTCGCACTTTGAATGACAATTGCGTGGTCATGCAACACTGCACCGATATGAGATTTTTATAATTTTTTTCACACAAATACACAAATAGAGCTTTCTTTTGGTGGTATGTACTTCCACTTGGTGTTTTATTTTTTTGCGCTATAAACAAACAAAAAAAAAGCACAAATTAAAAAAAAAAAAAAAGTTTTTCTTTGTTTCTATTATAAAATGTTGCAAACAGGTAATTATTCTCCTTCACTGATGTACATTGATGAGGCTGCACTGATAGGCAGCACTAATGGGCACTGATATGCAACAATGATGGGCACTGATAGGCGACACTGATGGGTGGCATTGACTGGCAGCACTGCTGGGCACAGGTGGGTGGCACTGCTCATCAGTGCCCTGATGATCGGTACCAATCCATCCTCTGAGGAAAGTACAGCTGATAACCGGCAATTGTCAAACAGTGACAGCATGAGGAAAGTGCAGCCGATAACCGGCCTATAAACTGCATTTACCGGTGATCTGCTGTGTCATTGGACATGGCTGTTCATGTCGTAAAAGGCCGCTGTGATTGGCCTTTTACCACATCACGTGATCACCTGTGTCCGTAGGACACAGCCATCACGGAGATCGCTAGGTGTGCACACCCGGGGGCGTTCTGGAAGGACATCATATGACGTCCTCCCAGAACTGGCCGGCCGCAGTGTAGCCATCATTCGGCTATCTGCGGTTGACAAATGGCGAATAGCAAAAAGTCCAAAATATTGTGTTTTTTTTCTCTCTCTCAAAATAGTCTGTCTTTTTTAGCTTATAGTGCAAAAAAAAAAAAAAAATGCACAGGTGATCAAATACCACCAAAAGAAAGCTCAATTCGTGGGGGAAAAAATAAGTAAATTTCATTTGGGTGCAGTGTTGCATGACCACGCAATTGTCAGTTAAAGTAACACAGCCCTGTAAAGCAAAAAATGGCCTGGTCATGAAGGGGGGTAAATCCTCAAGAGGGCAAGTGGTTAATCAAATTGACAGTGACTGTCTTGAGTGTCTAAGGGTGGGTGAATACATATGCAAACTACTGTATACAGAGTTCTAAAACTGGCATGTTTAAAAAAAGTAAGATGCTTCTTCTAGAACAGTGTGTCCACCTACGTTATAAGCAAATCTACATGATCATTCACAATGGAGCAGTGCAATTTATGACAGGGTTGTTTAGAGAGGTACATTCAGTATTTGGGAAACATTATTTTGTTGATCAACATGCCCTTATAAGTTGACTCCCAGCGCCTCTTGCATGAGCATCGCTGACACCAACTGCTCAAGTAACTAAAACATGCACATTAATGCACTCCCCTTCAGGCAAAATAATTCAAAACGTGGTTTTGTATTTCAATTGAGCTCCTACAAACATTGTTTTAGACATGTAAATATGTTGGCACCACTGCAATGACCACTTACTTTGCTACTTTTATTTTAAAAAAAGTTATTTAATAGACAAAGTCATATGTTGTATGAGTGTCGAAGCATAATACACTACAGAACTTTAACAAAGGTTAACAAAGATTTTAACACTGCAAACAAAGTATCATCTAGAGAACAGGTTTACTTCAAGCAGTTGGTAAAAGCACTATGATAACACAAGAAAACCAAAGTGGGTACACAACACAACAAATGCACACCCTAAAATGTATAAGCTAATGGAAAATAACCAATTTATAAGGAAGACATTCATATTAATATCAAAACGGGTACTGTGAGCTTACCTCAATGAATATTTGGAATGCTTCATGTGAAATGGCTCTTTAGGACTAACAAATTTCAGCTGCAAATCAATACAAGATGCAGTAAACACCCACATGCATATTATGGTCTTAGTATTAAGAAAACATGCATAGATTTAATGCTGAGAAAATCACTGCACACCCATGTCAGATAAGTGTTAAACAAGTCAGGAAAATATTAATACATTTCCTACACACCCTCACAGTTTTGGAAGCTCTTGACCACATACAGGTTTTTATTGCAATACATTAACCCCTTCCTGATGCATGTATACATATATGCAGCCTCACAGAAGTGGATCTTCTTCCATTGGGCTGCATACATGTGTCCATGTGTTTGTGCTGAGAGCCTAGAGCCCCAGGTCAGTAGTAATGATCACCTGTTTGGCTATCACAGTGATCAGTCACTATGCAGCTCTCCTGTTTTTTTTTTTTTGGTCTCCTCTTGAATGGAGAAGATGCATTGTAGAATGAGGAGAAAAAAAATCTAAACAAAAACAAATGTGAATTTAAAAAATAAAGAAAAAATAGCTAGATCGGGGTTAGATCTAGGTCAGTGTCAGGGTCAAAGGTCAATGTGAAGGTCTGGGTTAAAAAAAAACCAAAAACACACGCACATAGTATTTTTTTAACCATTAGCCGCCCGGCCTATAGCAGTTTGGCGGCGGCAAAAAATGCATCAGCTTTCCGAGTGCACGCCATTTGGCGTGCTCCCGCACATGCGAAGTTCGCGCGGTTGCAGAGCCGCGCAGCGGCGCGATCTGTCACCGGCCGTGTACCTCGGACACAGCCGATGACAGATCTGAGTACCGGCCCCCGTTGCCGGTACCATGTGATCTGCTGTGACCAATCACAGCAACTCACATGACAGTTGTATACAATGGATGGCTTCATTCATGCCATCCATTGTATACTAGTGCCTAGCTGTGAATGGTCACATGTCATGTCATGTGATTAGCTGTGGCCAAATCACAGCTAAGCACAAAAAAAAAAAAAAAAACCTGAATGAATCGATTTCATTTAGGTAAATGCTTGCTTATAGCAAAGTAATTCTTTGCTATAAGCAAATTGTGTAAAAAAAAAAAAAAAAAAAAAAAAATACTGATCACTTCCCCAAAGTAGTACAATGTCACTATGGTAACATTCTACTACTTTAGTCATAGTAAAATATGAAAAAAAATTTAATAAAAAAATTAATAATAAAAAAATAAAAAAAATATATATATATATATTTTTTTCCATACGGTCACCAGTCAGTGTCCCTGTTCATTGCCATGCCAGTTATATGATGATGCTGTACTGCACTGGTGACAGTATGTAAAAAAAAAATAGTGAAAATAATTTTTTTAATTTTTTCATTTTCCGAACAATTATGGCAAAAAAATACAACTTCAAAAAACTCGCCATTCCTCTTATGAAGTACGTCGGACTGTCTACTCTGCAAAAAGGGGTCATTTGGGGGATATCTGTACTGTTCTGACATTCTTGGACCTCAAGAAATTAGATTGGCTGTCAGTACTTCAGGATTGATCAATTTTCAGATCTATACCATAGTTTGTGAACTCTATAACTTTCCTACAAACTAAATAATACATCCTAATTTGGGTTATTTTCACCAAAGACATGTAGCAGAATACATCTCGGCCTAAATTTATGAAGAACAATTATTTATTTGTAAACTTTTATAACAGAAACAAAGAAAAACTTGTTTTTTTTTCAAACTTTTGTCTTTTTTTGTTAATTTAGCAAAAAATAAAAACCCCAGCGGTGATTACATACCACCAAAAGAAAGCTCTAGTTGTGCGAAGAAAATTATAAAATTTTAGTTTGGGTAAAATGTTGTGCGACCGCGCAATTGTCATTCAAAGTGTGAGAGCGCTGAAACGTGAAAAATGGCCTGGGCAGGAAGGTGTAAAATTGCCCGGTATTGAAATGGTTAAATTAGTATCAGTCTGTTTTAGGTAGGCTTAAAAAACAAAAATCCCAAAAAGCGCACTATTGTTTCTGGAACCTACTACAGTTCAAACAGATTGAAGCAGCTTGCACAAAATGGTGACAAACCTATTAAACAAACAAAAAAAAAAACCCTAAAAACTACAGTGCATATTATAAAAGGTATATGAATAGTTTGTGTACATAAAAATTCATGAAGCAATTAGCATAAATATATCTAAATATTATACAAAATGTGCACGAGAGATCTAAAAAAGTGTAAATATGGAAAATAGATACATAAAGACCACGATTAAAAAAGCACCACTGAAGTGATCATAAAGTGCCCATAATAGTCCATATTATGTCCAAAAGGAAAAACATCCGTTTAGAGTTCTCCATTGATCGTGCTTCACTATGTAGCAAACTAAGCGTGAAATATCCACAGTGCAGATCCTTCATAATAATCTTTAGCCTAGCAAAACACTCCAGCCTCAAGGGATCTCCACAGACCGCTCTTCAGAATGAACATGCAGCTAGCAATGAGCCCTGTTTGAAAGATGCTCATCACGCGGAGTCCAAAATGCAGTATATAGTGTAGTATTACTACAAGGGTCAATCATTAAAATCAGAACACGTGGAATCAACATACATATGCGGCTGAACTTACTAAGATGGAAACCGATCAGAGACCCGGAAATGGCGGTGTGACGTTAGCATGTAAGGCCCCACCCAATGTGTTACATGCACGTCTTCAGGGAAGAGCATTCTGTGGAGATCCCTTGAGGCTAGAGTGTTTTGCTAAGCTAAAGATAATTAATCTTCTGGTGAGTGCATAGTGGTTGGATCTGCAGCGTGGATATTTCACGCTTAGTTTGCTGCATTGTGAAGCACTATCAGTGAAGACTTTTAAACGGATGTTTTTCCTTTTGGACATTATATAGACTGTTATATTTATTCACACAGACCCTTTATGATGGTGCTTTTTTAATTGTGTTCTTTATGTATCTATTTTCCATATTTATACCTTATTACATTTTTTGTATAATATTTAGCTATATTTATGTTAATTGCTTCACGAATTCTTATGTACAAAAGCTTTTAATGCACCTTATTTTATGCGCTGCAAATATTTCAGTTTATTTTAACAAATACACATATGTGGTGTTGCTGTGATCATCAGCAGCAGAATTTATTTTGGGTATTTCTTTGGTGGTAAATTATGGTAAAAGCAAGAAATATACAGCTAAATTTTTTAAAAATTAGATTTTTTTTTTTTTTTACTATTTCAAGCCAGTTTTCACTTGATAACAATAAAAAAAAAATAAAAATCAGCAGATATCCACCATCATTTATCGCCAAATGAAAGCCCAATTTTTCCTGAAAAAAAAAAAAAAAAAAAGAAGAAGGTATAATCTACCTGGATACACTGTTGCAATGATATGTAGTTTTGCTAACAGGTCCAAGTTGCAAAACTGTGTTCAGGGGTTAGGATCTGTTTTACCCCTTCATAATGAAGGGGTTGAGGTAAACACTGGGAACAAACCTATGTATTTCCTAAACACTTTTTTCTAAAATGAGACACATGTTATACTTACCTGCTCTGATGGTATTGCACAGAGCAGCCCAGAACCTTCTCCTCTGGGGTCCTGCGCCAGCACTCTTTGCTTCTTCTCTTCTGTGTGTGCCCCCCCATAGCAAGTCGCTTGCTATGGAGGCACACCTGCAGGTTTGCTCTCGACCTGGACTGTGTGTGTTCACAGAGACACACAGTGTGACTCAGCCCTGCCCCTTTCTCACAAATTTGATTGACAGCAGCAGGAGCCAACAGCCTCTGTGTCCTGTGAGAAAAGGAACACAGACCAGTCTGCTGCAAACAGGCACAGTGCTGGATCAACATAGGAAAACAACATAGGTTAAAGATATATGGAGGTTGGGGGAGGGGCATTACAGTTACTGGGGCATTTTTGTACTTTAATGCAAGAAATACACTTTAAAATGGATGTAAATTCTAAGCATCTTTTACCCTAATGCATTCTATGCATTAAGGTAAAAAAAATGTTCCCGCTGCCTGTCCACCTTCCCTTCCCTGTCCTTAAAACATTTACTTGACTCCTCTACTGATCCTGCACTTCTCCATCTGCAGCACCACTCTTCCTTACTCTTCTAAAAGCAGGAGACATAGGCTCCTGCTACTGTCCGTCAAATCCAGTAAGGAGGGAGCGGGGGGGGGGTTGTGTGACTAAGCTGCACTTTGTGTGTCTATTGATGAACATAGCTGCGCACATGGGTGCCCCCATAGCACATGGCTTTCCGAGACAGCACTCAGGAGTGGAAAGCGCTGGCAAGGAACTCTAGAAGAAGGAACCGCTCTCAGAGGGCAGGTAAGACCAACTTTTTTTTATTTTAATGTAACAAAAAAAAAAGGCTTTACAATCACTTTAAAATTGCCAGTAGAGCTGTGGCTTAAGAGTACACAATAACGGAATGTTAATTAAGCACATCATTCTTGTTACATTTATCTGTTCTCTTTAAATCTAAATACTCAGGAGTGAGTCAGGCATCTACAGTTCTGTTCCTGTTTTTTCTTCAAAATAACATTTGAAAAGCATAAAAAAAAAACAAAAAACAAACAAACACTCTTACCATGTATGTTGTAAAAGAGTTGTTTCGTAGGTTTACTTTTATTGTACTGGATTCACCAACTGGTGTAGGAGGAAAAGTGTATAATTGGTCTGAAGAAAAAACTCCCTTTGCAGGTGCATCTTGCCTAGGAATCATAATAGAAGAGTTAAAGTAGAACTATCGCCAAACTTTTTTTTTTTTTTTTTCATTTTTGGATAGAAAAAGGAAGAGTTATAACCACTGTCGTATGTTTTCCCCTCTGTGTCCCATTGGGCAGATTTACCTTCACTTTCTGTCCCATAGCCAAAACAGGAAGTGAGAGGAAATCCTTCCAAAGTGAGGGAATCCCAGTGTGTCACTGCATTAAAGGAAGCAGTATTAAAACTATTTGTAGCAGAAAAACCTCAAAAGTCAAGGTACCATAGTAGAGATGCGACTGTGCCTTATTGAACTTAATTGAAAATGTAAAATTAAAACAGTCTGTAAATAGCAATTACAAGGAATGAGTATCTAATTTACAAATAAAGCGATTACTACATACACAGATCTCAATGAAGACGCTTCAGAACCAGATCTTCTTCTCGGATAGACTGGAGCTTCTGTATTGACTAAAGCATCAGTAGAAACTCTCACCAACACATTTTCAATTCTGGTACCCTTGGAAAGAAGAAAAATGGTCAGTCAAACTTTATTTCAAATACAACAAGATAAAAGTCAGTTGCATAAAACTGAACTTATTTATCTTACGTTTTTTCTAAACTACAGGGGAATAAAAACAAACCTATTCTTGTTTCAATGCCAAGGAAACTCCCAAACTTAAAATAAATAAATCAGAAATTTTGATTTGTGAGAAAATGCATCTTAGAGTACAGCACAGGACTTTTACCCAGAAACCCTGGGTTATACGCAGTTTACCTGCAGATAATTAGACACAATATAAAAACTGTTATGGTGTTCCTTAGAGTCTAGAACTAGAGGTAGAACTTTGAAAACAAATGTACAAAGGACTGGGTGGCGACCTTGCAAGTCTAGGAAGCAGTGCTGAAAAGTGCAAGACTGCAAGAGCCCTGGTGGAATGGGCACTGTTAGGGAAAGAGCTCTACCCTAAGGGTGTCAGCCCTTGAAAAGCTGTCTGATTCACCAGGTGAAAATAAGCAAGCAGCAAGACCACAGCCAGGACAAAGATGGAAGTCTTCAGGAAAAAAAAAGAGAAAGTGGCTGTCAGGTAGACCCTGACAAAATCAAAGCAATGAAAGGTATTTTTTTATGTCACCTTCCCTTTGTCCTGCTCAAACGCATGACAATTTCCTCATTCTGGTGGAAAGAAGACTACAGCAGGAAGGAAGGAAGGTTCTGATCTCAAAACCACTTTGACCTTGTAAAACAAGAAAAGAGCTCTCTACACAAAGAGCTTCCAACCCAGAAACATGCCTAACAGATGTAATGACCACCAGGAAGGCAACCTTACAAGTGAGGTCTTCCAAAGAAACTCTATAATTGGTTCAAAATGGGTTCTCTGAAGTACAGAGACCACCAGATTGAGATCCTGAAGTGATAAAGGGGATTGTGGAATTTGCAGTGCATTCATAAAGTATTCAGACTACCTTCACTTTTTTCAGTAATTCAGCCTGATACTACAGTTGCTTAAAACAGAAATTTTAGAAAGGTCTGTGAATTTATTAAAAAGAAAAAAAACTGAAATAACACATGTACTTAAAGTGGAGCTGCACCCAAAAGGGGAAGTTCTGCTTTAAGGCTTCATCCCAGCTCCCTGTTAAGGATGAAGAAAAAGTGCAGCGCTACTCGCTCATGCGTAGTGGGCACCTGGCTGTGACAGCTTGCAACTTCACAACCGGGTACCCACACTGAAGATGCCTGCGTCAGGGAGAGAGGATGGCCGGTGAAACCGGATGTGGTAAGGATCGAGGGACAGATGATTGTTTTCAAACGTCAGCAGCTATAGTTTTGTAGTGGCTTCCTTATTTTTTTTTATATTGTGACTGGAGCTCCGCTTTAAATATTCAGACTCTTTACTCAGTACTTTGTTGAAGCATGTTTGGCAGCAATTACAGCCTTGAGTCCCTTGAGTCTTTTTGTGTATGATGCAACCAGCTTTGCACACATGCATTGGGGGATTTCCTGCCATTCTTCTTTGCAAATCCACTAAAGCTCAGTCAGGCTGGATATGGCAGTTGGTGGACAGCCATTTTCAGGTCTCTCCAGAGATGTTCAATAGGGTTCAAGTCAGGGCTCTGGATGGGCCACTCTAGGACATTCAAATAGTTGTCCCTAAGCCACTCCTCTGTTTTGCATGTGTGCTTAGGATCGTGGTCATGTTGGAACATGAACCTTCGGGGCCTAGTCTGAAGTCCAGAGCGCTGTGGAACAGGTGTCATTGAGGATATCTCCACACTTTGCTCCATTCTGAAAAACACCCCCACCGCATGATGCTGCCACCACCAAGCTTCACTGTTGGTATGGTACTGGGCAGGTGATGAGTGGTGTCGGGTTTTCTCCAAACTTAACGTTTAGAATTTAGGCCAAATAATTAAATCTTGGTTTCTTTCACAAAGCTGTTTATTAAGGTTTTCTACAAAAGTTTCTAACAGCACAAGGTTATAGTGCGGAAAATTTGGATGAAAAATAAAGAGGAGAAAAGAGGCACAAAAGAAGCGAAAAGTAGGGCACAAATATCAAAGAGAGATAGAGATAAATTATTGCTATATTAACAATAAAGATTGGATACCAACACAACATGAGGATATCCTGTATATCACAAGGGAACAGCCTTATCCAATCTTGGTTTCATTAGACCACAGAATCCGTTAAGTGCTTTTTTTGCAAACTCCAAGTGGGCTTTCATCTGTTTTGCACTGAGGAGAGGCTTCTGGCTAGCCATTCTGCTATAAATCCCAGATCAGTGAAGGGCTGCAGTGATGGTCGTTCTTCTGGAACTTTGTCCAATTTCCACACAGGATCTCTGGTGCTCAGTCAGAGTGGCCCCCGAGTTCTTGGTCACCTCTCTTACCAAGGTCCTTCTCCATAGATTGCTCAGTTTGGCAGGAGGACCAGCACTTGGAAAAGTCCTGGTTGTGCCAAACATCTTCCATTTGAGAGCTATGGAGGCCACTGTGCACTTGGGAACCTTCAGTGCAGCAGAATTGTTTTGTAGCCTTCCCCAGACCTCTTCCTTACAATAATCCTGTCTCTGAGCTCTGCGGGCAGTTCCTTTGACCTCATGGCTTTTGCTCTGATATATTATACATTGCCAGCTGTGAGGCCTTTTATAGAGAGGTGTGTGCCTTTCCAAATGATGTCCAATCAATTTATTTTTTTACCACAGGTCGACTCCAATGTATAGAAACATCTCAGCGATAACCAAGAGAAATGGGAGGCATCTGAGCTAAATTTCAAGTGTTGCTGCAAAGGGTCTAAAAACAGAATTTTAAAAATGTTTGCAAATGTATGAAAAGAAACTGAAATATCACATTTCACTTTGTCATTATGGGACCCCTGAGACAGGAGATCCTCCCAAAGGGGCAATCATCAGGGAGCACCTGTGACCAGCAGCACTATGTCGGCTTACCATGGATGACAAGGCCAGTCTGGAGCAGACAGAATGACCGGAATCTCTTCGGCCTGCGCAGCTTGAGAGGAGGAAGCGCATAAATGAGAAAACAGATTCTACAGTGCCACCAGCGCATCCGTTGCATCTGTCAGGGGATCCCTCACACTTTCCACATATTGTGGCACCTTCCTGTTTAGACTGGATGCCAGAAGGTCCTAGTCGCGGTTCCCTCGGCGCTGAAAGATCTAATGAAACGTCCGGCAGCAGGGACAACTCTGCCTGATCTAGCATCTGACGGACAAGATAATTTGCCTGCAAATTTTTTCTGAGTCAGAATGTGCTGCTCCACTGAACAGAGAATGCAGGATACCTCCAATGCCGCTGAAGCACTTCTCGTGCTGCCGAGGGTTGACGGAGGCCACCGCAGGGGTGTTGTCCAGTTGAATCCCAACTTTGAGCCCTTGGAGAACGTTCGTCCAGTGCTCTAAAGACAACCTGATCACTCGCACCTCAAGGACAATGATGGGCAGGCCAGCCTCCTCTGGCACCCAACGGACCTATGTAGATCTCAGACTCCCCAGCTGGACAGGCGGACTACCATCCAGATATCGTATGTACTCTCCAGTGCCTCAGGAAATGCACAGCCAAAAGGGAAGCCAAGGGAACCAGGACAGCGACAACCAAAGGAAATGCTTCAGGGGTGCAGCCCTCCTCAGACAGGGAGATAAGCCACTAGATAAATAAACAGGTGGTGCACACACCATTAGTGCATTATCCAAGGTTTATTGAAAGGTATAAAAACATACTCACAGACGAAGCATGTATCTAAAAAGCATTTGCATAATGACGATGGCCACAACGGCAAGGTGTTCCAACTGTCAGTACGGTCAAATGGCTGACGAGTTTCAGGGACGAGTCCCTTTCCTCAGAGCTACTGACCAGCCTGTATGAAGGTCAAGTGGTAAATAACCATGGCTAGATACCTTGGGAGCAGAGCTCCACCTCCTCTATGGACTACCATCCAGCACAGGGGGAGAAAGGATTTCCTGGCTTGTAGGGCAGAAGACCCGAGCCACCATAGGAGGGAGGTCCTTGATGAATGTCCAAGGAGGCCATAGACCTGTCTCACTTGGATAGGATTTCCCTGCAAAACTCCTGTATTGAACTTCGCATATGTAACTGCCCTGAAGGTGGACACCCTCAGACCCAGAGCCTGCATGCAAGACAGCAGGGAGGATTGCCTGCAGGACAAGAAAAGTTGGTCCACAGTACAAAGATTCCGAGGTTGTCTGCAGGAACAAACACCTTGGCATACTTTCAGTCGATAACCCGGCCCCCAGGTACCCCAGTTTCCATGTCAGGGTCAGGGCAGAGTTCTTGACGTTCAGGACCCAACCACAATCTTACAGGGAGTATAAGGTAATCTCCATGTTATCCGTTAGTGAAGCCTGAAAGTCCACCCGCAGGAGCAGGTCATCTAGATAACCTGTCATGGCAATCCTCCATTATCTCAGCAACGCTAGCACCTTGTAGATTACCCAGGGAGCAGAGGCCACCCCGAAGGAAGTACCACAACTTGAGGGGTGTCTCCCCACTGCTAGGCGTAGGAATCGCTGATATCCCTCATAGATGAGAACGTGCAAGCAGGCCTGGACTGGCCATAGGGCACACCGGGCATTTGCCTGGTGGGCCGGGGCCACCTGGACAGGAGAGGCGGCACATAGAGGAACTGAGACATGCACAGTCTTCTATGTTCCGCCCTGCCACCTCTCCTACCCATCTCCTTTAGGTTGCACGCCTTGGGCTCCTGTATGCTCCTTCCTTCCTTTCCTTTCCCTCCTTTCCTCTCTCTCTCCTTCCTACAAAAAAAGTAAAAATAAAATTGTAAAAAATTTAATAAAAATCTACTGACACTGGCGGCGGAACTCACAGGTTTGCAAAGGTTGCTCTTGCAACCGAGCCCTGGTGTTCCGCCACCGGGCTTCGAGGAAAGGGTCCCCGGGCTTTGGACTGCTCAGTCAGCCTATTTTTTGTCACAGTCCAGGCTTGCATGCAGGTATGCATCCTTGATGTCTATGGTTGCCAGAAA